GCACTGATGGAACCACCACGCCTTGTGGCACAGCGTATCGCCCTCGGGATGAACGCAGTCCTTGGACATGTTCATTAGTTTGTCGCGCATCGAAAGCGGAACCGTGGCGAAGAGCTTCTCCAGATGCACATCCCCGTTGTCGTCCACCACTTCGATCTCGTGGAAAAAGCAGTTCATGTAGCACTTCAGTTTCTCATCCTCGTGAATCTCCCCATCACTGAACTCCTTAATGGCAGCTGCAGAATAAATACGAATTAAGATCATCCTAATATGGCACAATTATTACATTGTACTAAGCTTTTAATAATACGATTCTGCATAATAAAAGCCATTTTTATTCCGAAATCTATAACAGTTTGTAGAAAAAAACACACTTTTTTGGCAAAAAAGCTTGGCAAAAAATATAGTAATATACTAACACAATTTAGACTTTAATGTAAAAGTGGTCGGAATGTGTCGTTCATGTTAACCGAAGCTTAACATATTTTTCGGTTTCTAGCAATTCTCAATTCAAAAGGGCCAACTAAAAAGTTTGGAAATATTTTTATGATTTTAATAGATGTTTTGCATTCAGAAAGGACCGAATAAGATTAAAAATTGAATCTTTGTCCCATTATTAAGTCCATGAGTAATTTTATATTTAGTTTGAAGTTTTTGGGTTTTGGGCTGAGATAACTTTTGAAATACCTAGTGTCAGGACTACTATAAGCCATTGGGTGATTCTTAAGCCATTAAATGTAAATAAAATCACTGAAACTACTACTAAAGACACCTAAATAAGCAATGATATATTTATAACTTCAGTATTGGCTTAGTTTGCTTGAATCGCCGCTTATATTTTGAGGCTTATTTAAAGTTGTCTTAATGGTCAACGGTGGAAATGATTTCGGGTTGGATGGATGTTAATTTAGCACATGGCTGAGGGTGCCACAAGTGCTCGCTCTCGATGGCTGCAATTATGGGCTCACTTTCGGCTCAGGACCGTGGGCCAACTCACCCTCGGAGACGCCCGTCTTCTCCACACACGCGTCGTGGAAGGGCTTGGCCATTTTCAGGATGCCCGGCGGCGGATACTGCAATTAAAAAGTGTTGCTTAAGTGGGCGTGGCAGCGTGGGGGCGCGGAGGCGCGGTGGCGCAACAGCGCGGCCGGGCACTTCATTAACCCACGTTCTCGTCACGCTGCGCCGCTGCCGGCGGCAGGATCAGCGGTCCGCTGAGCACCGACAAGGCGATTAAGAGGACAGACGCACTGACACGCCGACCAAAGCCATTCAAAGCCATTTTAATGTGGCTCTTTCCGTCCGTCCCGTACGGTTCGGTACTGGTCCCTTTCGTCCGTGAAACAGCAAAAATTGTTTCCAGCCTCGGCCTTGTTTGCGAATTCTGAATAAAACAAAAACAAGCCCTGCAAAAAAAAAAAAAAGGAAACGAGAAACCAGAATCGTGAAACGTGAAACAAAAGCGGCGATGCATAGCAGAGAACACGGCACAGGACGAGGGCAAGCGTCGGAAGGACAAGAATGAGAATCCGAGTAAGGATGAGGATGAGGATGAGGATGCAGATGCTGTTGACGACGATGTGCCACGCGTGACAGCTGGACAATGACAATGGGTGTGCCACTGTGTGGGTACACTGAGGGGAAAATCGCCATTACGAGTAAACAATAAAGTTACATTCTTTTTTTTAATACTACCCTTTCATTTAGAACTATAAGCACGCTTTATTTGCCAATAAATGTGTATAAGCCGGAAGTTATTTATTCTGTAAGATAAGTAAGTCATGCATTGAACTGAGTAAATCCACAATTGCAAATAAAAAAAAAGGGCTTTCGAAAAAAAAAAAACAAAATTTATATATTCATTTTTGTATTTAAATAAAAAGAAAAAAACTAATGTGTTCATTTGAGAAACATCTGATCTCAAACTAAAATTATAACTTCCTGTCTTTTTACCAAACGAATTTGGAGTGTAAGGCTGTGTTTTTCCAAGCTCTAGCGCTTCTCCTTCATTTTCGCAACTTTTGTTCTTGTATTTTTTATTATTTATATTTTTAGATGCCATGAGAAACCCAAAAAAAGCATTTGTTTCTTGCCAGCTCAGCGCACGCTAAATTAATTCCAACCGCTGATGGCCGAACAAAAAGCGACCGTCAAAACGGAAGCGGAACTGTGCCCGAGACGTCAGCGAAGTCGTCACAAGTCTACAATTGTCGTGTTCCGTCTGACAAACACATGCCCACGTGGCACGCCCCCCGCCCACTTCAAGCACCCGACTCTCCGCCCAACCTTCCAATAGAATCCTTCGCTCAGGTCGACTGTGATATATTGCCCAGCTAAGGATTCAAGGGTTCAAGGATTCGAGGGTTCCTTGTGCTGTACGATGTATGCCAATGGAAGTTTTTCACTTCACTTTTATTTTAAGGTAAAAAACAATATTTTTCAGATCATAAAAATGATGTTTCGAATTAAAATCACATAAAATTACATACTTTGTTGCAATTTTGTTTGTTATTTTTTACGGTCAGTCGGCAGTAAAAACACAGTATCAGAACTATAAAAAGAAAAAGAAACGTTGTAGAAAAAAAAAATGTTGAATACATATTTTTAAAGTGATATTTTCGTATTTTGTTAATTCCATTCCTTTTCAAATATGAAAAACTAAAGCTTTTTACTGAACAAAAAAAAACTCTATTAGTGCACCATTTTTTAATACCCACACGAGAATATTTAAAGTTAAAAAAGCAACAAAAACATATTTAACGTTTACTGACCTTGAGTTGGCCAACTTACAGGTTTCAAGTATACTCATGTACTTATAATTGTAAAGGCTAAAAAAAAAAACAGTTACAAAATTAAATTAGTAAATTAATTTCCTACGTATATCCACTAAACTGCAAAATACTACGAGCAACCAAAACTAATTGTCTCTGAAGCTTTTTAAGAATTAGATCTCGAAGACAAAACCGATCCTCACATTTTGGCAACGGATGTAAGGGTATCAAAATATAAAATTTTCCATTCGTTCGTTTCTTTTGAAATTGTAAAACCGAAATACACAAAACAAAGACTTCAACTTGGGCGCAACTGTCACTTTTGTTTCATCAAATGTCAACGCAACAACCGAAACAAAGCCACAAAACGACATTCGCCCCTCAACTCGCACACTCGCACACTCGTACACCAGCACACCCGTACACACACTCGCACACCCGCACAAAAATGGAGGACGAATGAAATTACAGCAACAGCACATTTTTGTAGTATGAATGGAATTTTGTACGTATACGTATCGCAGTTGTCTGCGGCAGGAACGATGGATGGTTTTTTAATTGCCATTTCAATTTTCGTGTTGCAGCGCGTCGTTTGCCTATGCTTGGGCAACCTTCGACCTCTCATTCGCCTTCGTCCTGGCCACCTTTCTCCGCCAGGTTCTTTTCCTTTTGCTGTTCCTGGCAGCTGGTCTTTCACCCTACCGTTCGCTTTTAGCAGGAGTAGTTATGGCAAAAATTCGATACTGCACACACAGGCCACGCAAGAATTGTTTGACAACCGCAGTCACAATTGAATTTGCTTTATTGCCGTTTGCAGCGTTTGGCTTTTATATTGATTTTGACCAAGTTCACAAGACCACAACTGACAGCCGCACTCAGTAACCAGGCCAATTGACGCTTCATGCCGGGCCGAAAGTCTCTATAATGGCATCGCCCATATAAGTGCAGGGCCCAACTTGAGGGTCACGCCCACTGGCGTGCCTCTAATCATCAGGCGGAGAATTCCAGAGTACACTCTAATGGAAGTCGCACTGAAAGTCCAAACTCGCCATAGAATATAAATCACATTATAAAGACCTTTGGAGGATGTCCAAACTTTTAAAAATTTTGTTTTACTTTAAATGTTGTGAAAAGAGCATATTTAACAAATACGATATATTGACGGAACATTTGTTGTTTGTTAATAATTTGTATGTATTTGTATGTTAAGGTTACATTTTTAAAAATTAGAAACCAAAAAAAAAATCGTTATTCAATTGGTAAAACCATATTGCATGAGAGTTGGTTTCTTTATTTTTTAATTCATTATTATTGTTATTATCATTATTATTTTTTTTTTTGAAATATATTTTTAGAAGTGAACACCACTTGGATTATTAAAAAAAAAATATCCTCAATTTTATACAGATCAAACAAACACAAAACAGAAAACGAATAAACAATGTAATACAATTTTCTAACTAGAAAGTATACAGATTTAAATTTGTGTTTAAATTAAAAATCATTTCGTCGGTCTTAAATTGTTACATTAAAAAGCTTTTCTGAGTGTGTAAATGTTTTATGGGTCAAACCATTGCAGGCTAAATCAACTTCCGAGGCAGACGAAGCGAAAGAAATGCAAAACGGAAAGTTCCAGGCTGCAAAAGTAATCAAGGTAAAGCAATCCCTACAATAGCCAGTTGGAGCTTTTGTTGTCCATCGAGGCTAGACGGACAGATTTCGTAAGTAGCTCAATATCGGAGGGCTCTTCCTGAGTGGAAATCCACTTGAACTTATTCGACTGGATGCAGCAGATGCTGCCTTATCTAAACAACCAACAGGTAAATTAAGTTGAATCGGCTCAACTGAAGTGCTGGTTGGAAAACGAACACTGCCAATTTATTCCACGAATTTACTTCTGTTGCAATTTGCATCATTTTGAAAATTAGGCATTGAATTTGTGCACCCCATTTGGAACATATTAATTTTTACTTTACTTTTCGCGTCCGCACTTTAATCGATGCCTTAAATGAAAATACAATAATAATAGATATAATAATACAGGAAATTTTAGCCCTTTACTAAATCAAATACTTCTGCTTTTAAGAAAAACTTAGATTTCTAGAAAAATTTTTATTTTTGAAATTTTTATAAAATGGGAACAGTCTTAAACTTTTTTTAATTAAATAAAGATAATTGTTTCATAAATCAAGTCATTAGAGAATAATTAAATATTAAAAGAGATGAAAATAGTTAAAAATGCTTTACTGTTGCATTAAATAAATAATATGTTCTATACATTGTTTAATCACCCCGGAACCATTTATTTTTTAAACTCTCTCGCGCTTCATTCCCTGTAAAACCATTGTATAAACCTGATAATATGCCCTAAAATATCCTACATGATGTCAACTTTAGACCAAGAAGTAGTGAACGGGATCAGCCTTCTTCCAGCATTGATGAAACCACCATGCCTTGTGGCACAGAGTGTCGCCCTCGGGATGAGTGCATCCCTTTGAGGCCTCCATCAATATGTTCCTCAGCTTTTCTCCCGGAATTGCATTGAAGAGCTTCTCCATGTGCACATCACCATTATCGTCCACCACCTCGAACTCGTGGAAGAGACAGTTCATATAGCATTTGAGGGCCTCGTCCTCGTGGATCTGGCCATCGCTGAACTCCTTGATGGCCTCTGTGGGTATTTATTAAATTATGAAAATATTTCATACACTCGTGTGCTTGAGCTTACCATCAGTGACGCCAGTTTTGGGTGCACAAATGTCGTGGAAGTGTTTTGCCACCTTGAGAATCGCTGGCGGAGGCCACTAGTTAAATATATAATATATAGATATAGTAATCCGTAATTGCAAACTCATTTCATCAACAGAACATACCTCGGCATCGCGCCTTGGTTCCTGGGCAGCTGCACAGCCGAACAGAAATACCAGCAGAGCCAGGTATTTGATCATTTTGAAACTACAATGAATTGCCGGAGGTCTGGAATTGCGCTTTTATTAGATTGCTAGGGGCTCCATTTCAATATTCAACGCTGTGATGACTGTCATTAGAAAACGCACACTAATTGCAGGCTGCCATTTGCAATCAAATTGCGAATCCATTTTGGCAGCACGCAAAGCAAATGAATAAATGACAACCCATACAGAGCGGCAATTGATAGCCAACTGCCAAATGGAGAACTAAAAACTGGAAACACACAAATTAAGCAATGATTGTATGTGCCCGGGACCTGCAATTTTTGGAGTGTCATTCCCAACACGCTGAATTGGTTCATTGCGATCCGAGCTTTGCTTTCGAAATACTTTATTTTTGTGGGCGTTGCAGCACGCACACATTACGAGTGTACGAGTGTACGAGTGTAAGTGTGTTGTTGTGTGGGTAGACATGTCATAAAAGTCAAATATCGCTCCGCAAAAAAAAGTATGTCCAATTCAATTCCAATTTCGGTTCCTTTTGACACGCCGACATCACATCACATTCGCGTAGACAATGGCGAAATATTTGAAATACTGAACATAACTCAATTGCCTTGAAGTTGAGCACTGAAAGGTGCCATCAATCATAGTAACTCCTGAAAATATATTACAATTTTTCAATCGCATCTGGAGTGGGTTGTAAGTTATTTATTTATTTTCATAAAGATAGTTCGATTTTATTTAACTTATTCCACCTATTTAAATGTTTTGCAGTCCCAAAGTGAAAAATCTTGGTATTCATTTTATTACAACTCAATCGGAGCGATGTTCTTTATTATAAAAATTAATTTTATAATGTCGTTGTTCAATGCAAAAACATTCCTCAAATTTAATCCTCAAAGGTATTTACTCCTGCAAAGCCAAAATGTAGAATTTTTTTTTGAATTCCTTTTCATTTTTGTCTTTTAAGTTGAATGTGTCAAAGATGGTGTCAGTAAATGGAGTAATCGCTTGCCATTTAATAAATTTTAAGATCTATTTTGGGATGAAAAAAGGAATTTTCATGATTGTAGTAAAAATATGTAAACATGTTTCTAAACTAATTAGGAATTCATTGCTTGTAGCCTTTCACTTGTACCCCTTCTTGTTTGTTTGTTGTTCATGTACTAATCGCAAACATATTCCAGAGCCAAGCACTTCAATCAGCCGTGAAATCAAAGCAATTTCTATGCGATGCTCTCAATGAGCAAGGCAAGCGCATCCGCGGAACTCGTGACCCGATGCAACGGCAGCAGCAATTGCAATTGCAATTGCAGTGGCAACTGCAACAGCAACATTGCATCAACAGCAGTTGCTGTTGCCGTTGGGCCGATGCGGAATATAATTATGAGGATGCAGCTCGCTTGCAGCTGGCTGTCAGCCACATATTAATTTTATTATGACGCCATTAATGCTTGTCGATGCATAAAATTATAGATGCGCTCTTTAGATAGCGCTAATTAAATAATTAAATATGCTTTAGGTCATTGCCAGTCAGCAGATTTATGAGCGCCATCGATCAGCCGCGACAATTATGCAATTCCAGATGGCAACAGCTGGATGAAATGTGTTTCCCTTTTTTACTTATTTTATTAATTTTCCCCTCCTCTTCCTTGCACGCCAAAATTCTGTTTAAAAATGTAATAAAACCCAAATCCTAAAACAGGACCACCTTTAGGAGAAATAATACAAAAAAGTAGTTCGTTATCCGCTTTGCAGAAGGTGCTGCAAAAATGTTTCATCTCGCTTTTGGCTTATGAAAGCTCAAACACATCTTTTCATGCAATTCTCATCTAGCTAGAGGAACACAGAAAGAACGGTCCTAGTTCTTCTGACTAAATTTTTGGAAATATATTTATTAAAATAAGGTATAGGACTGAGTTCCATAAAAAAGTTACATAGATGTGGTAGGCTTTTTCTTCTTCACATATTAATATTCCACAATTCTTTGTTCTTACATAAAACTATTGGAAGGAACAATAATTTTTACAGACATTTTTTGTAAAATTACTAATAACAAGACATAAGCTTTCCATCTTTTTTTAAGGTGTACAAACACATTGCATTAAATATTTCCCCCTCTGAGCTTGCTTATTTCCTTTGAAGATACTTAACTGGCATGGTGACGAATAACCCCTGACTGCTGAAGCTCAACCAGTTTATGTCGGGAAGAGCCGGGATTTTCTGTTTTGCTTTTACTTACTAAATTGAGTTGCTCAAATGTAAAGCTTGCATATCCTAATTATAAAAAAATGTTGAAGAAATTAATGACTTCTGTCGAACGTTTTAATCCAAATGCATTGCGATTGCTTGCCCAGATATCAAGCTTATATTTTAATCCATTGAAGCTTGCTTGTTACCCGATTTGGCAGCAACAAAAATGTCAAAAAATAAGTTTGACGACATCTGGCAGATGCGGAGGTCGGAGGTCACACGTGACAGCGATGGGAGATGGGAAATCTGCAAGCTTAAGTAGCTCTAAGCCGGGTATCGATGCACGTGAGTGGCAGGGATGTCGGCGACTTAGTGGCTCAGTGGCAATCACGTGCCAAGCCAAATTGAAAGACTTATGTCCGCTGAGGCCATGCGGCTTTCATAACAGGAACCGCTCAAATTAACCTCCCGCCCTCGGCAATCAAAAACCGCTCTCCGAGGCGCGAAAATGCATAACACGATAATAGGCAGCCAAAGTAATCATACGCCACGTTGGACTGCCGTCCAAGATGACTTAAAGGGCAGTGAGAAAAATATCCACAAAAGTTAGAACATTTTTTTCAAATCACAAATTAAACAAGAAAAACATTTTCAAAATTTATTTTGTCATATTCATTAAATGATTTATCTATTTTCCGATAATTTATATATCTTTTTTAAAATCCGAATCAAATTATTGCTGTACATTTTCTGTGACAAATCGATCCTTAACTCAATACATAAGAATATTAAAATATCAATACAAATGGAAAAAGTCTTTGCTTTAGCTTAGCTTTAACTGCAAAAAGCTACAATATGTTTTCAAAGATTGTCTTTAGCTTAGCTTTAATTGCAAAAAGCTACAATATGTTTTCAAAGATTGTCTGCTTTAAGAGGTGCTAAAATAAATTACTTAACCATCAACATAATATTCAGATCTTTAACTGTGTTATTTAAATGCCAAAGTAATTGAAAGCTGACGATTTTTCGATTTTATTAATTTGTGCCCTTGTTTCCCTCAGTGAAGTATATGAAAATGGCCAACTGCCATGTAACAAACAACGGACTTGGGCAACAAGTTAATTGCAAAAAACAACAAGAGGCACAAATACAACACGCACAGAGCCATTAAAAATAATGTGAGCTAAAGCACCAGCCCCTCCCCTCCGCTCCCCTCCACAGCCTTGAGCACCATCATTTGTCGCACACGAAACGCGTTAATTATGGCCATTGCAGTTCTCCCACCGACTTTCCCGCTTTCCCGTTCCCGCTTTCCCACCCACAGCATTCATTAATTACTATGCAAGCTAAGCGCTTGGCAAAAGTTTTGGACAGGGCCCCTCCACTCGCATACTTTGACATGCAAGCGCAAAGTGTCAAATTAATTTTTAATCGCCGACACCACCCAAATGTTGCCAAATAATAGATTTAGATGGGTCGAGCAGTGCGTTGTGCGTTGTAATTAAAGTTTGTCGGCATCTGGCGCCACAGTTTAAGGCGAACGCAAGGGGTCAGGTCATTTGGGCCCGCATGCATGATTTGGGCATGGGTCCGAACATCCGCCCATCCCTCTCGCTTTCATTATGCGCTGTTTGACTTGGGCTAGTAGCCGCTGTCATCAGCATCCTTGTCACCAGCACCAGCACCAGCACCAGCTTTGGGCCATAATAATGCACTTTAATGCGCCGCCAAGCACTGGCCAGCAATCTATTGACATTTGACACTTGCAAATTAAACGCTCGCAGCAACATCGGCAGCAGAAGTGGTTGTCCGGCTGCACAATTTATTGACACCTTATTTGGCAGCGTACACTCACACTTACACGCACACACGCACACACTCCGAGTGGCACAACTCGTTTTGCGGTTTGCACATGCAATTTACATGTGTAATTTTTTGGAGCGGCCCAGGCATGAAAAGTTGCCGCTCATCGTCGGTGGCCGGGACCGCAGGACTAGAGTCCCAATGACAGCTGGACGACAACTTCGTTAAACGAACTGCAGTCCGCTCGAAAACTACACTGCGGATATGAGTTACAACGGGAAATTAGCTGATAGTTTGCTAACTTCTAGTGTTTTACATTTTAAAAAATTATCCAAATTATTTAAAATAAATATCAAGCTTAAAGTTAATTAGCTACTTACTATAACTACTTTTTATGATAATATATTCCATATGTTAAATGATAAATTTGAATTTATAAATATTTGTTGATTTAATAAAATTATTTATATATTTAATTTTATTATTGTAGCGCTAGTCACATCAGTTATTTTATATAATATCAATCTTACTAATTAAAACATCTTTTCATAGTATAAATTCGTAGGAAACAATATGGTTTGATCACTTAAACGATTTTGATTTGACTATGAATGCTATTAATTTTGTAATATGCTTATTAAATATTTTTGATTTGTGTTATGTTTATGCTTAAATAACTTCTTCTTATTCAATTACTTTGAGATGAACGAGAATCTTAAAGCAATGGTCAATAAAATCTTGTCTAGTTTACTATTTGTATTTATAGGTCGTCAATTTTAAATGGGAATTATTTCGGCATTTCAGTTTTGACAAAGTTGCTAAGCAATGTGAACCCATCCATATTTGACTGCTGAATTTATACTTGTTTATTTATGAGTAGAAATTAATTGTAAGGAAAAACATTGTGTACACTTCTGCAAGTGTACTGTTTGCACCAGTTAGTGTGCGATGCATAGACCCGTCTGCTGTTGGACATAATCGATTTACTGTTGTCGGGATTGTGGGACTCGAGACTCGGGACTCCATTCTACGCATTTCATC